ACATGAAAAGAGACTTTATAAACTACCAGTGACAGGAAAGAAAAGAAGCTTCAAGGAAGGTAGAGAATTAAGAAGATGCTTTAATTAAGCTGAAATATCTCCCTGTTAAAACTATGGAGATAGACAATGAAGTCCTGAAAAGAACTCCTTTAATTCATGATATAGGATCTAGAGAAGAATAGTATTCAAAGTGTAAATTTGAGTAAAGAGTAATTATAGTATAGTGAAGTACTGGGAGATTAAAAGCCTTGAGAGGCAATGAGAAAACTGTTGAGAGATTTGAAGCCCTGAGAGGCCATGAGAAAACTGTTTTCTGGTGAAGCTCACAGAAACAGATGAAGAAGACTTTTTTTCTTTTTTTGCCTTTGAATAACTTATCCTTAAAAATGCTATCTCTAGACGCATAGCCCATACACACCTCAGAGTGATGTGAGAATGGGAAGAGTGAACTCTAATAATAGCATCTCTGAACAGCTAACATTAGGGCAATAGAAAACTATAACAAAAATAGTTTTCTTGTGAGAAACTCGATAAATTAACAAGAAGAAACTTCTGTTTCTCTATAAAGATTAGTAAAAAGACTAGCAAGAATTGGAACTGTTTTAACCATCAGAGTTCCAGAGTTTTTGTCTCTGTTGTCATGTGAACAAGGGAATAGTGAGTAGATAAGGGATGGAAAAGTTTTTCTGGAAGTTTATTCTGGTGTTCTTATTATTGTGGTTTGTCAATAAACTTTCTTTTTTTTTTTCCCCCTTTTAAGTTGTATGCCTGTTTTACTCTTATTCTAATCCATATCTCACAGCAAGAAGTAAGTAATTTTCTTAGTTAGTAGTTTAAAACCACGACACTACCACACAAGCAAGCTACTGAGCTCTGCAGAAGGGCAAATGGAACAAGAGGGGAAGGTTGTTACTATTTTGGGTGGCTTTTTGAATGAGTTGATGATAGCCAAGAATTGATTTCATCATGACTGGGGCAAAGTACTTGTTATGCATTCACAACTCCATTCACAACTCAGCCACCAGCTCCAGTTATCAGATTGTGAATTGTTCTAGCAGAAAGATCAAAAACTCTCAGAAATATTTTTATTTTGACACATTATTGGAGGGGAGGAATTTTTTCTTCACACTGTCACAGACTGGAAGCTTTTTCTTGAATGCCTTGGTTGCTAGTTTTAGATGTATTTCCCTTTTCCTTGCAGATAAGAGATGAGGACAGCGGCTACAACAAAAATCTGTTTTGCATTCCTAAGCATTATGAAGAGGATTTAGAAAGAGTCTTCATTCCTCACGGACTCATCCTGGACAGGTATGAGGGTAAACAGGAAAGAACAGGGACAGTAATGCCCATTTTTGTCCCTCCAAATGAAAAAAGCCTGAGGTCTTGCCCTGTGCAGCCCATGGGAAACGGGGAAACCCTGCAGCCCTAACACTTCTGTCCTAAAGTCTGGGATAAGAGGGGGTTTATGGAGAGGATTCCTCTGCAAGCCCAGTCAAGCTTCCATGTTCCATCACCTCTCTTGAAGCCCACCTATCCTGCAATATTTGTGTTTATGGGTTAAATCTGCTTATGCTGTGCAAATACCTAATTTATTTTCCTATGACTTGCTGTGCTCACAATTTGCTAGTTAGAAAAACCTAACAGCAAGATCAGAATTTTTACTTGAACATTGCTTAATATATGCACAAACAGCTCTGATATACAGAACACTTTCCAGAATTGCCTTTTTTTTCCTTCTTTCTCCCAGGACAGAGCGTTTGGCTAGAGATATCATGCAAGACATGGGAAGTCATCACATTGTTGCACTCTGTGTCCTTAAAGGAGGCTATAAATTCTTTGCTGATTTGCTGGACCATATAAAAGCACTGAATCAAAATGGTGATAAATCTGTGCCCGTTACCGTGGATTTTGTCAGAATAAAAAGCTACTGTGTGAGTGACTTTCTTTTCTTTGGAAAATTGACTCTCTCCATAGACTGGCATTCTAAATACTGGTGGTTTGTGTGAGAACCCCCCAAAAATGGAGTTTATGTGTACATTCTCTTCAAATTACATACTAAAAAGGAACTGATTTACTGATCTGCCCCAAAGGGTGGATATTATATATTCACTGGGATAAACATAGCAGAACACTCAAGATGACAAAGCCAGGGGCAGATCTCCAACTCCTTCCTCTTGTAAGAAGCAAGAGCAGCTCACCTTTCAAACAAATCCAGGACAACACTTTGGGGCATGCTTTATGTGACTTCCATCTCTTCTTTCTCCTTCTAGAATGAGTCACCTGCAGAAAAAATCAGTTTTATTGGCGAGGAGCTGTCTACACTAAGTGGGAAGGTATGAATTGGCATCTTCAGCTTTTAAAGGAAAACAACTGTTCTTGTGTGTTTTCCAGGAAATCCATCTTTATTGAAGATTTTGATACTGCATACTTCCAGCCTCTTAACACTGATTTAAAATGCTGGGCTTTGAAGCAGTGAATAATTCCCACTGATCTCAGTGGAAACTTGGAGTGATCAGCAATGAATGCTCCCAAAGGTCCTATTCCCCATTTTATCCCAGAACCCCCAGAAATGAACCACACTCACCTGACTCATTCAGTGCCTCTGGAATACTGGTGCTGTACACAGAGCAATATACAGACCTGACACAGGTGCCTTTAGCACCATATTTAAGCTTTCAGAAATACTTACAAAATGACTCTTCAG